ATCCTGCACACCCTTCAATTTTGTTGCGTCGACACATAGACACAAACATTGTCATCATCATATGTAAACTAACAAACTCTGTAAAAACAACATAATTTTGTCTTCACAACACAAATGACTAATGACAAATTTTATTTGCATATAGACCAGGAAGAGAGATCTGATCACAAGTGGTCATAAAGAGACACATTTCAATAGCAGGTGTGAACACACTTGTGATTGGATCCCTCAGGTCTGAGAAGGGCCAAATATGTTTAGTTTAAAACTTGGGTTGTGGTCATGTCTCTAAAATGTATTTGTTGTACCAAATGAATAGTTCAAATCTGCTGCAGCTAAAAAATTTGGAAGAAATCATGTTAAATGAAAGTTGCTTGTTGTGCATGGTTTATTTTTTACTTACTTTTCCAATCATATGTTGTTACAGCTCAGTCAGACTTCTCACATCAGAGTTAAGTGTTGATGGCCCCTTACTTATATAACACATACAGTATTTGACATCATCATAAAAAAACATGGAGGAGAAGCTTCACACTAATACTAGGGACTGGGTGAATGATGAGGATGAATCTTCATCCGACTAATCTTAGAAATCAGATGTGAAAAAATGTGACTGTCTTAACATAATGTGACATCTCTGCTCACAGCTGGACTACTAAGTATTAGGTTTTTAAACTCACATGGTTTGAAGAAAGATTTGGTTTTTAGGCTCATATATAATATATGGGCTGATTTAACTGTTTAATATCCTGGTATGACTGAGACTTATCTTAAAATCGAAGTGCAGCCAATCAAGCCCAGTCAAGTCAAGATGGAGCTGATTTGCAGAAATCCAACACAAACTTGTTTTTTTTATTTTATCCTCTAGTCCTTGTGTTTTCTTAATAAGCAAAGTTTCCTTGCAACTTTGTCCACTGGAGGAGATGGTGAGAGGCAACCATCCATGCAATCGTCGCCTGCCCAAGTTATGTTAGTGACCTTATCTTCTCCTTTCAGCTTAAGGCAGAGTGCTATCACAGCCTCTTGAGCAATCCCAGGAGATCAGTGCAGATGAGAGAAAATTAATGTCAAGGATGTTTATTTCCGAATAGCTGGAGAGTCCGTCCATGTGGGGATGAGGCTCTGGCCAATCCTCAGGAAAGGAGAAAAAGGTTGATAATCAGAAAGAGAGGGAAAGATGATAGTTTAGATGGCTGTGCTGAGCCTCGTCAAAACAGAATTACTAGTTGGTTCAAAACTCTTTAGGAAGGAGTGTGCTCAAGGGAGTCAACACAGAATAATACTATGACAAACATGGAGATGTTACAGAGAGCCACGGATGACCAGAAAATAGCAAAACTTAAAGGATGAATTTCTTGAATTCTTTTGGCCAGTTTGGAGCAGTGCAACAAACAACCCTGACATCATATCACATTAAAAAGTTGTTCCGACAAATTGCTTATACATTCAACCATAAACTTAGAGACAAGCTGGGGATGGGAGTGATCAAAGTGACCAATCAAAGCGGGGGAGCATTAGCCACAAAGTCCACCTAGCAATCGACTGTTTGGTAGTGTTGAGCAATTGCGAGCACATAGGGAAGAGTGAGTTAGTATTCTCAGCCCCGTGCTTGTGAAACCACAGTTGTTTATGCCAAACAGGAAATGTAAGCCAGTGCCTTTTCACTTGCCGATACTGTTCTGTTCACTTGCAGAGTAGAAATACTCCATCGCAAGTATGATTTTGCACTATATGCCTGCATGTGTTTTTTACATTAAATGAAAACTGATCATCCATCAAAGTTTGTGGAGATAAATGCAGCATATTTCATATTATCCTGTTTTGTTTATCTTGCTCAGGTGTAAGATTGTCTATGTAAAATATAGTCCATGCATAATTATTGAGCCACACAGCATTTCTTAGGTTCACTTCAGTGAATTTGTAATGGCCTACAGTCAGCACAAGTATGATGCATGGGGTCTGATCTTTTCTGTGCAACCTCATTTAGAGGCTGCTGAGCCAGAGGGAGAGTAATAGGGTTGGAGTGAACGAAGGGCAGTCAAAAACCTAAACAGCAAATAAAAGATTTCCAAAAACTAGGGAACACTTCTGAGTCTCAGAGGAATTTCATGGTGGGATTAGTGCAAACAGTTGCTCCCTCACGTACATGAAGGCTTACCATACCAAACAGGTAGCAGCCATTTCCCTCCCGATGTAGCCCCACGTTATCCCAGCAGAAGAAATAATCCCCCCTACCCATGCTTTTAAACTTTTGACACAATGCCGATACGTAAGTGCTGCATTTAACCTAATCTCAAAACTTCACCCTAGGGTCTCTCATTGATTTCAACAGGCATGAGGAACAGCCTGATTTGCTTATCGCCTCGACTAGCTTGAGGAGGCGCTGTGCTTGCCTAATACACCCAGGATCTTTATCACCATCCATCCTCCAAACTGTAAATCTTCACAGCATCTGCAGAAAATCCATGTCAATACAGCAGCATGGCCCGGGCAGACCCAGGTCACACGCTGGGCCATAAAGCATCACGAGGCATCGACTGGTGCTCCCCAAGGGAAGATAACAGTCAGTACATAAAGTGATGATGCCTGAATGTTGCTGATGGTGGTCAGTCCAAATGGGCCCATTACACAGCTTCCGTTATGTGATCCAGCCAGCATTGGCCTCTTTCTGCTTGAAATGCTTTAAAAATTCTTTGTCCATTACACTAATCAAAACTTGAATGGAGAGACTGACTGAAATTCTTTGTGGAGGCACCTATAGGTTCAAGCTAGACATCTTTTTTTTCAGATTTTTGTGTGAATGTTTGTGTCTCCATAGTCCTGCTGTTGTTATGTACTTCTATTACAGGCTCATGATGAACCTTTGATATTAACATCGTCACTGAATGGGCTCAGAAAGCTTTGCAAAGCTAAAAGAAAATAGCTTCTGACGCTGTTTCTCCAGCTTGTTTTCCTTCTCTACAATACTTCCGCTCTCATGTGGACTCTTACCACTTCTTGCTGAATATAAATGTTTTCTAGAATATTATAGATTTTTCCTGACATGTTTTCTAAAGCCTTGCTTCTGCCAGACTTACTCAGAGTAACCCTTCATTTAAACAGCAGGACTTTCCTTTCCTCTTTTTACCGTAACTTCACTGAGCCACAGCATTTACCACGGAGACAAGTGCAGTGAATTAATAGTGAGAGAAAGATATAGGAAGCCAGGAAAGGTCAGCTCCTCATGCCGACTACACAACACAGACTTGTGCCTCAGATAAGAAAAGGAAGTTTCAGAGAGAGAGAGAGAGAGAAGGAGAGAGAGTAGATTTCTCTCAGTAATTTGATGCGTCCCCAAACGGAGCCTCGTTCATTTAGATTGGATTACAGTCGGTTGGTGGAGCTACACTGAACAGATTGCCCTTCTAACATGTAACGCTATACTTCTCACGCTAGCTGCACTCATTTACATGCAGACATCCATCACCCAGACTGTCGGTGCAGATGGATGCTGTGTGGCTAGGAAATAAATATTTCTCGCCCTTTATTCATCTCAAAGAGTTTTTTCGTTGTCCTGCTTTACATCCTTACAGCTTCACATACAGATGATTCACAGCAGCTCGGGACTTGTCAGTGACTCTGCAGTGTTGTACTACATGCCCCTGAGCGGTCGTGTTGGCATAACACTGTCTTGTACTTTACATGCGCACATCTCTGGTAGTTGTTGAAAGAGGCAACAACCACATTTCTGCAAATATCACATTTCCAGGGAGTTGAACCTGGAGAAAATGTTATCAAATACTGACTTACTTCCTGAGACGAACTCATAGGTATTCTTCAAGGACTCTTACTTAAATACACTAACATCCATAAGAATATTTAAAATACACTTATTGTTGCTCCTTCAACTTCAAAATATGTTTAATGAGTTATGAACTTCTATGGTGTAAAAGCATCAGTGCATATACTAGACAAATGACAAACAAAGCTGTATACAACAAACATCTACTGACCTACTTCTTTTTACCAAGTTTTATTCTCATGTCTTCAGTATTTATTTGAATTCAGTTAACTGACAAAGACCCCATGGACAGCAACATTGATACAAGCTGGCTTATCCTGGTAAAATAAAGTGAAATGTACAATGAAGCAAACTGTTTTTTGTACATTCCTGGCTGACCAGTAAATTCAAGTACATCTCCACCAAGGTTACCAAGTACAATTTGAAAACTTCATGTCGTGTTTTGATTGAAATCATCAGTGAAACAAATATCATATAAAAATCAAATACTAGTCCGACTGAAAAATTAGTACTGAAATAAAAATATCCTGCGTTTCAGATTCCAAATGCAGCTCCTTGTTATGAGATCCCAGTACTATGCGGAGAAAGAAGCAGTGACGAAATAAGTTGTCCTCTTCCCCGGAAACACAAAAATAACAGCTTCAACTTGGCCCACTCTAAACACAATAAAGTGGCACAGGCTGATCTCAAACTTCACTCCACGCTGTTCAAGAGAGGCACAGAGAGGCTGCACCGCAATTAAGTGTTCAAGTGTCGATGCAGAGATGGTAAAGTTGTATTCCTCTCCGAGTCCTGGGGGGATGTGCCTGTAATTGCTGGCTCCTTTCTCTTGATTGGAAATGCTTCACTTGTTGCCATGGTTGTCTCGCTGGGCCACAGGATCATACGAGCTGCTGCTCCTTATGCTCCCTGACCCCTACAATTTGTAACTTTCCCTCTATAGAAGAGCACCTCTACATTCAGTCCAGACTCCTACTTCACAGCAAAACTGCAGTTATATAAGTTATCCTAACGTAAAGTCTCTGAGGCTCTGGCCTTTTATTAACGCACCACCATGAAAGGCTCTGTTACAGTAAGTGAAACAATCGGCTGTGCTGACACTGCTTCCTTTGGCTCTTTAGCTCTCACTTTTGAAAAGCTATCTCAGCATTACTGTTATCTCTGTCCCCTGATTAATTTCACTGTCTCCATCGCCTGTCTCTCCTTGTGTCTTCTCTCGCAGGTCAGCAGTGGCCATGCCATTTGGCTGTTTAACAATCGGGGAAAAGAAGGATTATCACAATCCTTCAGACGTGACAGATAAATATGACCTGGGTCAGATTGTTAAATCGTAAGTACCTCAACACTGGCACGGCCTAACATCCACACAAATGTTTTAATGATGCTAGTACCTTTTCTCATGAATTACTACTGTCATGAAATGCTTTCTTTCAGGGAGGAGTTCTGTGAGATATTCAGGGCCAAGGACAAAACTACGATGAAAATGTACACATGTAAAAAGTTCCTGAAGAAGGATGGAAGGAAAGTCCGCAAGGCTGCCAAAAATGAGATCCTCATCCTAAAGATGTGAGTTGATTTGGATTCATGTTCCCTTCTGTCCGCATTTCTTTGGTAAACAGTGCTTGATTAGTTTTGTAAATATCAGGGTCAAATGACATTTCGAGAAAGATGTCGAATTATGATGAGAATAAAGTCTCTATCGAGAATAAAGTCATAATTTAATGAAAAACATAAGTCATAATAATGAAAAACATAAGTCATAATAATGAAAAACATAAGTCATAACATCGCAAGAATAAAGAAAAAAAAGTAAATAAACGGAGAGCAAATGCTCGCTGAACTCCTTTTAGATCCAAAATCTTTCTTTGATATAACAAAACCCCTTTGAATATCATACAGATGTGACCAACAACAGCCTTTCAGTTGACCAACATTTCTTCCTCCACAAAAAAGTCTGTGTTCTTCTTTCTTCAGAAAAGATACACTTTCTCACAAAATCTTTTCAAAGTGCTGACATTTTTGATGATGTGGTGCCAATGTGCCAATTAGGTTGTTTAGGAAACTGTACTAAAGTACTTATTTATTTCAACACAGGCAAAAGGCTGATCTTCCGAAATTCCCCCTCGGAAATGACACTAATATTACAACATACTCATAAATGCATGACTTTTTATTGTGATATTAAGACTTTATTCTAATAATATTAAGACTTTATTCTCGTAAATAATTTTTTATTTTCCCTTTAATTGGCCCAAATACTCATAATTTTGGGAATGTCATCAAAAGTTGTTTGGTTTTTTTTACTTTTCCACATTTCTCAAACACTGATTTTACAAGACATTACTAAGTAGAAATTCTATCTTCATGAATAATATATATTTTTTAAAAGGTCATTTTAATTATCACACACAGCCTTGTTTATGTGCGACGTTGTTTTTCTCAGTTTCCTCTGTGATTATCTAACTTTCCAGTAAAAGCCACATTAGCATAGCCGCAGCCTTAACAAACAATTTGTCACTGACAGCAGGTGAAGCAGTGAAGCGTGATGAAGGTGGGATTTCTTTATAAGAGGCCTTTCAAAACACAGAATCGCAGGCTTCTGAAAATTACACTTCAGACGCAGCAATAATGGGGACATGCACTGCTCCTGTTTTTCATACTCTAATCATCAGTTGGGGGTTTTAGTAAATAATCAAATCTGATGACATTTTCAAAGGCTGTGAGTAATTGCTGGCAAAACATGAAATGCAATCTTGAATATAAAATTCTTGAATATAGGCATTCGAAAAGAAAAGAAGAGCTCCTTCATGAACTAATCCTCATTCATTTTTTATTACTTAGAATGAACATTGTCAGTCAGTTTTTGGTTTTAATACCACTGACTTCAAGTCTCCCTCTTGCTTTTATTACTTCACTTGGTTATTTTTCCCTGTGCAGAATAAAGAGGCTGTTTTCACATTCAGGATTTTGAGACCTCACAACTCATTTAGCTGTAGTCAGTTACTTGCACAAAGTGTAACGTGGAGAGTTTCGACATCTTCTAGCAGTTAGACATTTTTACTTTTTGTACGAAAATTTGTATAGAATCAGATTTTTTTTTAATGATTGAGAAATAGCAGATGTAATTATGGGAGTTTTTAATGAGGCACTTTAACCCTTTTGTGGGAAAACCTTAAAAGACACAACTGTTTTTTCCAAGCAGAGAATTGAATGTGTGTCTTGAGGGAATCATTAATGATTGCGAGAATTTTGTCATCATCTTCTCGGTCGCTGTTTTGGGAACTTCACAAAACCATGATTAATGGTCTAAAGTGAAAATTATATTTGAAGATGCAAATTAATCTATAAGCATTAGAATGTTTGATTATTATATTATTTACAACAACATTTCATTATTTTTTTTAATTACGTGACATTAAATAAACACTTATTTTGGATATAAAACTTAAATGTTTGTTCTACAATAAGTGATATCCATTCATTATCTATTCCACTTATCATTTGAGGGTAATGGGGGGGCCTGGAGCCAATCCTAGTTGACATTGGGCAAAAGACAGGATAAATCTCGGACAGGTTGTTAGCATATCACAGGGCTGACATGTAGAGACAAATAACCATTCACACTCACATTCACAAATAGGTTCACTTTAGAGTCACTAAACTCTGTGTCTTTGGGCTGTGGTAGCAGAGTAAAGCCCGGGCCTCACTGGCTGTGTGTGCAGCGTGTTACAGCTGCGCCGCTGATCTGCTGCATCTCACGGGTGTCTGTTAACACAGGGAGTGTGCCTGCTATGTGCCTGCAGCCGAGGTGCAATTTGAGGTTTCTGGTATAACTACTGTATTTTCTCAAATAAAGGTACTGCTGTATACACAAACCATGCATCTTCTGGTTGTGCAATAACTATAACCTTGTTAAATCAAATTAATTTATTAAGTCAACAGAAATTCAAGAGTGCTTTTACTTTGAAAAGGGACAAATATTTATGTTTATGTCATATTAGTCTGGGAGACATTGAAAATATGTTGAAAGATCATTTTCACTGTCTATTTTGCTGTGAAATGTGTTTGTGACGTGGAGAAAATAGGCAAGACCTTGATTCTCTAGAGACGCACCTGAGATGCACTGTTCACCGAGGTAGTGTGGCCAGTCCTGATAACATGGGAACCAAAGAGAAAAGGAAGACGTTCTGCGACACTCATGTGCAGCTCACACAGCGGTGTGAACTGCACTCAGGCGTAATCAGAGAAAACCCACAGACTCTCCCACAAACACAGGGGAGAACATGCAACCCCACAGACAACTGGACACCATGTTCAAACCAAGAATCTCTCTTGCTTTGAGGAGACTGTACTAACCACTGCACCACCATGCCACCCATGAGTACTATAAATTATAAAATATTGTTTTGTTTTATTTGACAAATACTTGATTATACTTGTTACTAATTACAAGCATATTTAGTAGAATTAACCACAAAATTATGGTTTTCAATTTGGTAAAGAAAATAGAGGGTTTTGTCTCTTTTGTCTTTGTCCAAATTTGTTCAGAAACATTTCCAGATTTCCTTTATCTGCAATATGAAGCATTGTTGTCCACATGTAGAAATGTCAACGACAGTTATCAACTTCTTTTTCCTGGTGTGACTTAATTTGCTCTTCCAGTCCTGTGGCCCTATGCATGTCAGTCTGTTAGGCAGAGACTATGGACAGAGGGACAACACAAAACCTGCACTTGCAGATTGTTCAGTTTTTCTTCTTCAGGGGAAAGCAGAGAGCATGGTAGTTTAGTAACAGACCAACTCTACATAAAAGGAAAATAAATGAGTGTCTAACAAGTGTGGGCCAATTCATGCAGCACACTCACGCTGTTATAAAAGCTACAACAGCTGGCTGTGCAGAATAACCTCTGACTGGTTGTAGAGAAACATTATTGTAGCTGTGATAAGCCAAACAACTGTGTGTCCCAAATCTCTCCCCATTAGCTACCTGCTGGACGACATCCTGTCTATTCAAATACACAATCGGTGCATATTTTCTTTCAGAAATCCATTCAATAGAACAAAACATTTTCCATAATAATAATACACAATGCAGTGGTTTTGCTTGGCTCCTGGTTGTAAATTGTAATCCCAAATCTACATTTTTTCTTCAGTGAGTTATCTATTGAGACTTCAGTGCAATTTGAGACCGTCAGGCAACACCAACTCCCTGTATCATCAATCAATCAATCAATCAAATTGTATTTGTCTAACCCATATTCACAAATCACATTTTGTCTCATAGGGCTTAACACAGTGTGACACCCTCTGCCCTTAACCGTGACCAGGAGTAAGGATATTTGAGGTTAATATCTGTAGCCTCAAATATAGTAGCTTTATGAGCTAAATTCACCATAAAGTTTCACAGCTGGTACTGTGTTAATGGTCATAGGCACAGTTCGACATAAGAGCACATATCTTCTTATTTATGGAGACAGGCAGTATAACGTGTCAATCTCAGTCTCCTGAATGAATGATTCAGACGTCATCTCCTCTATGATTCCTGACATCTCTTTCTGTGCCTTGTGCTTTGTGACGTGTCTCCCCAGGGTGAAGCATCCCAATATTCTCCAACTGGTGGACGTCTTCGAGACCAAGAAAGAGTACTTCCTTTTCCTTGAACTGTGAGTTCACATGTCTGATGAGCCTGGGGAAATGGCTCTCTGCTTTCCTTTGCTGCAGCTTGGGCCCGCTGAACTGTATATGTTGATTATACACTTGTGGGGAATGAGCTGGTTTAGCCCGAGGCCCTGCAGATATGAGAACAGCTCTGAACTCCCCTCATTTGGTATTCGGATATGATTGCTTGCTAGCTGCTCCTTTCTCATCAGCATGTGTTCTTGGGGAATTTGATGCATTTTCATGAATATGCTAAATGTCACTCGTCTTGTCCTTTGAGGACACTTGATTTGTGGGATTAGGGATTCTCATTAGGAAGAAAATGATAAAAGACAGAGGAAACATCTTTTGTGCGATTGGTAAATCCATTTTCCTGAAACAGGTATGGCAGGAGATTCAATCTTGATGATGATGATGTATTTAAGGTTTCAATATAAATATGCAATGTGGAAGTACTGTTATAGCTTTCTCACAGGAAACCCCCATGGGGCCTGTGTGGGTAAGCCTTTTGGGTCCTCTATGAAGTCTATCTCTGGGCAAGCACATTCAGTTGCAGCCCACCCAAAGGACTAACCCTGTCTCTGGCTGAGACTACCCTGGCCCAATTTAACCTGTCTAACACATTCTGGGCCTTCTTCTGTTTCCACAGTGCAACAGGCAGAGAGGTGTTTGACTGGATCCTGGATCAAGGCTACTACTCAGAGCGAGACACCAGTAACGTGGTACGCCAGGTGTTGGAGGCGGTCGCCTACCTCCACTCCCTGTGTATTGTTCACAGAAACCTAAAGGTAACCGATAGTGCAGGATCTGTGCCATCTCACACACTAAAACTGTAATCTGTGTGATGTCACCGAATTCAATTACTTCTACAAAGAAAAAAATCCAAGATTTACGCTTTAAATACAGTCAGAAAAATTATAAAAAATGTTCTTGTTAAAGAATTGACTTGTAGAGAGTTCTAGAGGGTTCAAGTCTCATTTATGCGGCCTTTACGTGGAAAAAGAGACACGTCAATTTCAAATGGATGTCCTTTACGTTGGCATGGCTCCAAGTTCTTATGTGGAAATATTTCAAACTTGATCAAGGCATTTAGTTTTAGCATAAAAAGACAAAGTTACACTGAAAGTCTTTTGATATGATTCTATTTTTTTTTTTTATCACCAGTGCACAATAGAACTTTTAGATGTTTCCAGTCTTGTCATTATTTATGTTAGAGTATGACACAATCAGTGAAATTCAAACTCTGCGACCATCAATCGCTGATTAATTACGAAAGTGAACAACTAAAGACGTGAATATTGTATTAACTGTCATTGTGATTTGTCATTGTACATAGTTGGAGAACTTGGTTTATTATAACCGCCTGAAGCACTCTAAAATAGTCATCAGTGACTTCCATCTTGCAAAGCTGGAGAATGGACTAATCAAAGACCCATGTGGGACACCGGAGTACCTAGGTGAGGATGTACATTTACGTTGTGGGAAATAAGAAGTTGTGCAGGCAAATGGAGAATGTCATGTGTGTTAAGGAGGTTTTTATGAAACCTGTGTTATCTTGTGCAGCTCCTGAGGTAGTTGGCAGGCAGCGATATGGCAGGCCTGTAGACTGCTGGGCTACAGGTGTCATCATGTACATTCTGTAAGTTCTGACAGGAAATATGAAAAGAGAATCCTATGTTTAACTACATAATAAATCTTATACAGATGTTTCTGACTGACTATGCATTTTACTTTTGCCGTGTCAGGCTGTCAGGCAACCCTCCATTCTACGATGAAACAGATGATGAGGATTACGAGAACCACGACAAGAACCTGTTCCGAAAGATCCTCACTGGCGATTATGAGTTTGACTCTCCATACTGGGATGATATCTCTGATTCAGGTATTTTATGATAACGTTATCACTGTAAAGGAACACAATGACACCTTGCTTGGTAAACACTTCATATTAAATTACATTTTTCCATTCTTCATCTTACTGCAGGAGTGTTCAAACATATTTCATATTTATGTTCCCATTCATCAGGAGAATACAACTCTTTTTCACTGTTTGATTTTTCTTAGCCAAGAGTCTGGTTACTCGTCTGATGGAGGTGGATCAAGACCAGAGACTGACAGCCCAGGAGGCTATAAACCATGAGTGGTAGGCAGCAGTGCTTTCATATATTGTACAGCCCATTTAAATTCGAGCTGTGTGATCAGACAGCATCAATGAGATTAGAAAGGTTACATGAGTTCTGACTTTATTGATATGCCAATTAAATTGTACTGGTAAAGTTTATAGCTCACTATAACAAGCTGAGCATGATGATAGCAAAGCATTTATTCAGCTGCAAGTTACTATGACATCAAAACTGACGCTTCAGATGACAATAAACCAAAGCAGCTTCCTGCATTAGACAATATGGGTTTAAAAGATGTTCTTGTGATGTCAATGTCTCAAATATCTGAGACAAACATCTGATCTGCAAAAAAAAGAATGTCTCACAAGCAGCTAGTGGAAAACATACATTCAAACTAACCAGTTCTAAGACACAAGATCATATCACATGTTTTTGCCACCAGTCAGTTTAAGTTAAATAAAACTATTTTGTCATTATGCCTAACTTAGCTCTTTATGGGCCTGCCCAGAGGTATATCAGTGGATTATTGCTCCTCGGAGAACTCTGCCAGAGTTCAGCCTCAGATCTTCAGGCAGGGATCTTCTGTTCCTAGGCCCTGGCAAAAGACTAAAGGAAACTAAAGGCTTTGTCAGTCAAGGGCCCTCAGGGGTGGAACTGCCTGAGCATCCGAGGCTTTACGAGTCACTGACATTTTTAAAATAACTTCTTCAAATATACCTATTGATAATTGAAAAGTAAAATAAAAAAGCCTTGTATTGGTCTTGGTTGAATTGTATATAAATGTTGAACATTCATATTTTAACTGTTTTAGTTATATTATTTCATTATATTGTGCTAAAATATTTCACATTTTATTATTTCGTTATAATAATGAATGTCATTAACAATATATCTGCTAAATATCCACATGCTATCATGTCTATTAGCATTTTATCTTTCACATTGCCTTGCTTCACATAGCTGTAAGTATCAAACATAAATCGTTGTCACAATGGCAGAGAATCAATTTAAGAATAATCCTCAAAGGTTAAACAGTCTTTGTAAAAGTTTGCCAATCAAAAAATGAACAATAAATTGGGTAATACTGTGTGCAGCAGTCTGTGACATCCAAAGATAGAGGAAGCATAAAGCTCAACTGTGTTCTCTCCATTTTGTGCTGCAGGATCTCTGGTGGTGCAGCGTCAGATAAGAACATCAAGGAAAACGTGTGTGCACAAATAGAGAAGAACTTTGCCAGAGCTAAATGGAAGGTAAGCCCTTTTGTTCTCTCCTTCAGGAAACTCTTCTTTGCCAAGTTCAAGAGTAGTTTTGCAGTCCTTGAACGAGGAGGTATAGTGGCGCAGTGTTGTGTAACTGTTAGCTGAGGCAGTCTGATGTTCTCTCAGTAAGTTTTTATGTTATTAATCTAAAATATTTTTTTTCTTCCTCCTCCTGCAGAAAGCAGTTCGAGTCACCACCATCATGAAGAGGTTGAGAGCCCCTGAGCAAAGCAACTCGAGGGTGACCAGCCCTGAAGCCGGTGCCCCGGAGGACCCCGCGGCTCTCCAGGCTACCGTCGACCCCTCTGCACCTTTGTGTGGGGCAACAACCGAGGGAGCCCCTGCTGCGGCCACAGAGCTCCCTGCTGGAGCCGAGATGAGCCAACCGGCACCAGTGGCCTCACCTGGGGCGTCAGCCTCAGCATCCGAGGGCCTGGCACAGCAGGAAGCCGAGCCCACATCACGTTGTAACGGAGAGGCCTCAACAACCCGCCAGGCTTCCGCCGAGGCTGGGGGCGAGCAGGGTTAGACCCCATCTCCCCTGTGTGACCTCTGCTGTCCCCACCGACTCCTGCACACTGTACATTAGCTGCTAGCATGGTGACACTGACTCTGCTTCTCTCTCACTTGCAGCATTAGCATCATCTCATGGAGGCTGTGTGCTACCTTTTCCAGAGCGCTGCGTATCTTTGGCTTTCTTCTTACATGTATTGTGTCTTTTTTACTGACCCCCCACCCCCCAGTGTTTTACGTCAGATGATATAAACAGAGTCTATCCCTGCATATTTCAGTTTTAGGGGTAGAAACAGATTGGCTGTCAAGCTGTGGCTTACAGCTTTAGTCTTCTCTCTGATTCTTCTCTCAGTGATAAGAGAATATTGGAAAACAAAGTTGTGCTGAAAACGGCTTTGATTCCTTTTTAATGAGACAACTTGGGAAACTACTCTCTGCCTGTCTTGTAATTACAGTATTTGTTCTCCAAATCAGTAGTAAAGTTTAGCTTTTCCCTAATTTTTGACCTTGTACAATAATACTCAGTACGTGCTGGCCCTCACATATACTCCTCTCATATGTTTATCTTTCCTATCTGTTATCGTGGAGTGGACACCAACCACTAATTGTGCCAAGATTGATGACTGGGAGTTTTTTTATGCCCAGAACTGTAATTTGAACGAGGCAGCTTCACACATAGGCACACACACATAAACACTACGTTCCTTTGCTAAGTTCCTGCTCAGGAAAGAACCTCATAGCTGTAAGTGTAAAGATTCTGTACATAGAGACCTTTGAAGAAGTAGCTAAACAGCATGCATTCTCACTTTCTGCTGTTCATCTCACACTCAAGGCCACTTGGTGGATAAAGATGCACTCTCGCCACAAGCCATGTTAAGGTTAATGTATAGCGCACTACACTGTACATCATGCTGTCTTTTAATACAGTTCAGTTAACACCCCTTCTGTCATCGTAAAAGTTGTTTGAAAAGGAAATGAATACACCACCAATACATAGTAGTTCTATGCATTCAAATTAATTTGTAGCCTTTCTTTTTTTTTTTTTTAAGGTCACAACAGATTTTATCATATCTTTATCCACCATGTGAGAGAAATAGTTTTTTTTGCTGGATTTCAGTCCAGTTTTAAATAGTGTCCTTTGTGTGAGGATACTGACTCAAATGCCACACATGTCTTAATATTTGGTTGTAACTATAGAACAAAATGTGCATCAACAGACCACAAGCGTCTTTCAAGGGAAGACGTGCATCACTTTTGAATTTGACTGGGATGATCTTCGCTGGCTCAGCTTTGTTATACTGAGAAAAAAATAATAATCAAGCATATGTTTAACATATTTATAATCTATGAATTCTTTATCTGTGTATATTTTTTATTTAGACAGATTTTCATCTTATACTTGATAAAACAGTAATAACAAACTATCCTTTCCTGTCACTGGTCCCCTTGAGCATTGATAATGAGCTACAGAAGGAGTTCTTTGTAATCACTCTAGAGGAAAATATAGAGCAATATTTGACAGGCTGCAGAAACTGTGATTCCTGGTGTCCTTTTGCTCCATGTACCTGTAAGTCTGTAGTCCTTCAAGCTGTCAGGCCACTTAGCTAACACATGGCTGCTGTCTGAAAAAAGTGTATGCGATGTGCGTGTGTGAGAGAGACAACTGTCGGATAAGCATTACGGCCATATTGATCTCCTGGCCAGTAGACGCCCAGCATCATTTCCTGCGCTAATACATAATTAACCATCAGTTGACCATTCCCTGGTCAAATAAAGACAGCAGCCACATTGTCAATACACTGACTAGATGATATAATTAAAGTGTAATATGTCCTGGCTCATGCTCTGCCACTTTGTCTTACTCTTCCTGATCTGTTATCACTAGTATTTCCTGTGCACATCTGTGAATCTATATGAAAAGGTGCATCAGAAAAAACTGATCACATTTACTATCCGTAGAATCTCAAGTTTGACTTTGTTGTTGCAGAGTCTTTTATTTCCAAATGTTTCTCTTTTTATTCGTGTTAAGGTAGATTGGTATACACGCCAATCATACAGATGATTTCTTACATTGCTAAAGATGCTGAATATTTAGATTAGAACAAGAAGCTTAAACAAGAGATTTTAGTGTGAATAGATTATTTCATGTTGTCCCTTCTTTTTGTTTAGATGTCAAATAAACACTGTTACACAGTTTAAAGCAATGCTTTCCTCCCCAACACATTTCTCACTGTATTTAGTAACTCCATGTCTGTTCATTTTACCATGCAACAGGTGTATTTGTAGATGTGACGTTTGCCAGGACCAGTGGTCACCTGTAGGTCCTGTCCTGCCTTTGTGAGCTCTGTACCGTTCTCCTTGACTGAGTTGATGAATTTGATGGTAATAAAATTTAATTCATCTGTTTATTCCTGTGTCATCTTCTCATTTCTCCTCTAAGTTAATGGACAGAGATTGTACAGTATATCTTTCAAAGCAAAATATGCCTCTATGGGAGATTATTTAGAGAAAATGTGGGAAATCGCCTGCGTCATCACACTCCCCTCAACCCGAAGGAGAGCATCTGTGTTACACTGTCTCAATTAGCACAAGCTTAGCACCCATCCTGGTGGGGTGTGAACTTGTGTTTCGAAAAATCCCATAAGTGCCATTTGGCAACACTTGCCAGGATACTTGTTTTGCATGGAATTGAAATAATAATGCAGAGAACTTGCCTTCTCTGGGGTTTAAATAGGCTGCCTCTCCAGAGCCACTCTCTTTTTCATGCCCATTGTACAATTATATATGCAGCTATCCACACAGCCTGCTGGGCTCAAGGAGGCTCTGTGTCATTGAATGACATCACTGAGAGTGCCAGGGTGAGGGAAGTGTCAGTTTCCTGTTTCTCACAATGCAGAGATGAAAGAACGCTGATCAGAGTCTGGCTTTGCTGAGAGGATATTTCTTCTTGTGGGCAAAACCAAACTTACATACTAACTAAATTAAAAGTTGTGGGTTGAGTTATGCAGTAGAATCAACACTAAAGAGAATACTAAACAACAGTAAGCAGGAATTAGTCTCAATAAGCTCTGCCTCTAAAAAGTGCTTCCATCTTTCAGGTTTAGCCGTCAGATTCAAGCTGCTGACAAAATTCCAAGTAAAGAATTTTAATAGTGATGAATGGATTGTGTCGTGTAGTATTGATTTGTCAGCATGTTGATGTCGAAAAGCAATCAATCACATCAACACTGCTTGTTGCTTTCCTGCCATGGGTGACATGGCTCAGGAGTAAGAGCAGTCATCTAGTGAGCGTAAGGTTCCTGGTTTGATCTCCGTCTCCTCCTGAATTTTCCCCCAGCAAGACACTGAACCTCTAACTGCTCCTGATGATATGACATCAATGTGTGAATATATGTATGAATGAATGGGGCAATGAGACAATCACAAGACAAGAAAATGAGCTCCGTTTGCCTCAACTTAAAGCACACCTCTGAAGTCCTGCAGCAAAAAACCCGTATCTATACTTTATATAAATAAAACGACACTCAGTAGAGCCCTTACTAGAGCCCAACACACGCATAGATATCAGTTCCATATGCCAGATTTTTTTAATTCAAGATCCATGAATTATTTTGGGGGAAGTAAATGAAAATGTCAAATACACCCCATCTCACTATTAGCTGGTTTCAGTCATGCACTGGACTCCACAGTTCATCCTAATTTTCTCTGGAGGAGGTAGATGTGTGAACACAAATGTCTGAATGAGACGCTCCATAGATTCTGCTGATTTTTCTGCCTAACATCCTAGTATAATGCCCCTAGATATCCAGGAGAAGTCAATGTGTGAACATAGCAGGAGATCCCCTGCTGGATTCACAGTGAGCGGGTGTGGGGTTGAAGAAGCTTTGTATAACGCGACAGATGTAAAAATGAAAAACAAAAACAAATCAAATATGGTGGGGGAGCTGGAGCCAATCCCATCTGACATTGGGCAAGAGATTGGGTACAACCTTAACAGGTTGCCAGCTTATTGCAGGGCCAACATACAGTATAGAGACAAACAACCATTCACACAGAGTCTCCAGTTAATCTAACACCAATATGCATGTTTTTGGACTGTGGGAGGAAGCCCAAATTCTGATCCAGATCCACACCAACATGTTATGGGTTCATCCCTGACCAATATCAGATCCTTCCACCAAGTTTCTTGGTAATCCGTTCAGTTGGTTTTGTATAACCCTGCTCACGAACAAACCAACCAATAGGAAAAAGGACAGAGGTGAAATCCTATCCTCCTTGGCTGGTGTTAATATATCTATCTAACCTTCTTCGGTATTTAACCAAAAATGGCAAACATTCCAAAAGCATCAATGGTAAAAAAATGTCTCCACAATAATTAGGTTTTGTATTATGTAATAAGGATTGATGTACTTAGACAGTTCAGAAAAGACAGGTCTGTGTTGCAGCACTAACCCTAACCCTTCTTTTGACCTGTCAGATTGAAACTTATTAAACTATAGAGAGGTTTAAAGCCACTCCACCCCAATCAGCTACAGCAATAATACTAACACACTAATATTGCAGTTGTTATCTGGAGGAGTGATTTAACATTCATAAGGTACATTTTGACAATGTTTATTGGTACTTACAGTGCTCCTCAATCACTGACTGGTTCCATGTTTTGTTCAGCGAAGATGTTTAGAGCAACAATTTTGAATGAGCTTTTGGATGCTTTGTAAAATTGTTCAGTCAAGACAAATTACACCACAAGGGAAGAGACGCTCATATACTGCCATCTGTTGGTTCGAAACATGTAATGCAGCAGTAAGCACAGCACCTGTTGTGATTCTGTGGGAGCAGCAGAGGGCAATGTTGCTCCCTCTTTCCTACATTCTCCTTTTGAGAGGCGTTGATGGTTGTCAATGATTATTCCACTCTTTCCCCTGAGTCTCCTCCTGCATATGGTTACTTCATGAGAGAGTCTGACAATATGACATGTGGGATACATGGAGGCCAGGAGAGGATGGAGCTAAAACCTTTTAACCTACTTTGTGACTGATCCCAGGTTGAGAAATTAAATTAACGTCAGCTCATCATCTCTTCAGTGAGCTGAGTTTTATTGGCCAAAATCCAGCCAAGTCTGTAGGTCTTCAGAGGGATGCCTGTGAACAAAGCCCCAGTTTCATTGCCATGCCAGACTAAAACTGACTCTCACTGTCCGACTTCAGAGTCTCGGCTCCAACAATGCAGTGAGTGTCCGACGGCTTTGATTGTGAGAGAGGGAGAGAATACCCACAGAATGCCAGCACTGCCTCGGAGCCACCGAGCACCAGATCACACTCAAAGATAAGACCCAGCTCAATTACACAATGACAAATAGAATGATGCTTGTGATGACCCTGCTTGGCATTACACCACATGATGTGCCCCAGTGGAAATGACGTCTCACAGATATCTCTAGTGTTGTGGAGAATAGTGCACAGAAATATCTGATCAGACTCTGAAGGGTCCGTGTTTGTTGTGGGTAGTTTTGAATTTCCAATATTTGCATCATGCTCCTTGGTTTTGGGCCAGTTTCTGAATCAGAGGCAGAGGTGGCTGGACTAGACGTGATGTGGTGATGATGCAGATATAATGTTAACAGCCGCAGTGTTTAAGGCGTGTGACCCTGAATATTAGTGTTCTGCCCTGACTCCCCTTGTCTGCTCCGCTGCTCCCAAGCAGGGATCAGATAAGCACAGGGAACAGAGCGCTGTCTATGGGGAGGAATGAAGGGGACAGCAGATGTCATCTGACAGCTGGAATGTCCTGTGATGGTTTTCCAAACCATTTCACCAATTGTCTCTTGTGTCCTGAAACAATCCCAAACTGGGTTGAAAAGGTGCCTCCAGACATTGAGGCAAGTGAGCATATAATGTTGTGTTTGGAGGATGCCCTTTTGTGTGTACACAAGTATAAGTATGGTGTGCACTTATTTGTGAAGTCACAGTCAACTACAGCGAAAAAACACAAAGAACAAGTGCTATCTGCACGCAAATCAGCTGTTATTTATAAAACATGCAAGTGAAAACAAGACTGCAACATTTTTGTACCAGTGCTTCTTCTAGTTTGCTCATTATGTTTTAAACTTACATGAATTATAAACTACCGGAGCTGTTCTGAGAGTTCAGAAAACATGTATTCCTTCTTACTTATTCACATGACGATTTGTTATGGTATTTTATAGTGGGGAAATATTTAGGCCCATAGGTGCAATGTGTATAAGCTGCATTTGTTTTGATGAATTATCAAAATGATGTGAAATCTTCATGGAATTTGTGGCGTGTGAGTCCAATGGACTGAATTTTATGGAAGCATCAAACATTTGTGGCACAACAATGGCACTAACAGTAGCATCCATTACAGGATAAGTCTGGTCATATTCATTGGTGGCAAATACCACCAATGAAATGGTGTGACTGTCTCACTCAGACTTTTGCGTTCTCTCATGCATCTCCACCTGAGAAAGCGCAGAGAGTCTCCAGAGGAGATGCATGCATGAAAGCAGCTTAAAAGGGAAACAGAAAAAAAAATAATTCAGTCATTATCTACTCACCACTGTGCTGATGGAGGGGTGGGTGAAGTGTTTGAGTCCACAAAACACTTTTGGGGGTGAACAGTGTTGCAGCCAAATCCAATAAAATTGAAGTAACTGAAGTAAGAAAAAAAGAAAAAAAAACTTTTATTTTAAACTCAGATTCTTATTTATATCCTATTCCAGTAATCATCTGTCAACATCATTCATTTTAGTAATTCCTTGTTGGGGTTTCGATCCTGTCAGGCTCGCTGGTTAATTAAAATGCTGTGTGTTGGTTTATGTAGCTGTTTAGATTCTTATCTAACAATGGTCCCAAGTTCATTCTGCAGCAGGACACTGACAGAAACAAAAACTGATGGTTTGAGACGCCTGATCTCAACATCATGAAGTCAGTCTGGGATCGCATGAGACAGAAGATACTGACACAACTTCAACCCAACACACCAAAGAAATGTGGCAGGATGCCTGCAACAACCAACAGTACCTGCCAAGAACCTTGAATCAGTGCTGATGTGCTGCTGAAGCTTAGTGCTGCAATATACTGTGAAGTACAGCTATACTACCATTAAATATATTGTGTTCATTCCTGTCTCCTCTGCTCTGGCCTTACCGCCCATTTTCCTCTTTCGCACTCTTTACTCCAGAGTCGACCTAGATTGTTGTGGGAGAATGAGTCAGTCTTGTACTGGTCAGAAGTCAACTTAACTGTCGAGGTTTTTATGAAGTACAGAAACTCTGATGAGGTTGACTGACACAAGTCTGACCCGACATATAGCTGGTTCCCCTTCGGCTGCTGTGAGCCTTCATGACCTCTCATCACACAGTGGTTCTGAGTCATCGGAGATTGGAAAAGACAAAGATAACTGAAGATTCTTAAGAGTATAGTGCTTCATAAAATATTACTTGGGAGTCCTCGATGCCTCATGCAGGCATAAAAGGACTGTAGTGTCTCATTGTAGGTGAACTGTCTCAGACTATCATCAGCATTTAGACCACACCTCGGACCATCATGTTGTCTACAGGTGAGGCCTATCCCATGAAAGATCCAGCATCTGAAGTGACAGGTGTCTGAGATGTCTCACACAACGCCAGCACATGAAGGGAAACCATGACCGCCAAAGCAATACCACAAATACAAAAGCCTCAATACAAATAGGAAAGCTACAACAAAACACAAATACAAAAGCTAAAACACAAATACAAAAGCTACAACACAAATACAAAAGCCACAACACAAATACAACAGCTACAACACAACCGCAAAAGCCACATCACAAACACAAAAGCCACAACACAAACACAAAAGCTTCAACACAACCGAAAAAGCTACAACAGCCACAAACACAAAAGCTACAACGCAAATATAGAAGCTACAACGGAAATACAAAAGCAACACAACGGAAATACAACGAACTGACTGGAAATGTTGTCACTCACTGTGTTCAGGTGAATCCTCGTTTGTAAAACTCGTTCGAACTAGTCACTACTTTAAATATGATGCTCACCAATTTGAGGTGTTACGGTACAAGTGCGCGCATCCGTTCAATATCCTGGGTTCTTCAAGCACCTGTACCGTAACACCTCAAATAGACATGCATCGTTTGATTGTGTTTCCGTTGTGTGGGTATTTGCAGCTGTGTCGTCACTGTTAAGTTCCTGTTTTCTTGAAGGAGACGTCTCGGCCACCGTAGAGAGGGGGTCTGACCTATGGGTCTGATGCTGGGGTCCTAAGTGTCACTGCCCAAAAGTTACTTTCATTTCTGATTCAAATGAAAGGTAGCAAATACTTGAACGTTTGTTTATTCTATTCAGAATGAGAAGGATAAGTCCTGTGCAAAAATACATCGTAAAAATCTGTCTGAGATTTAAACAGAATTTAATTTGATCTCATTTCTACAAAGTAACATAAATAGTTAAATATTATCAAATAAGCTCCACTAGGACTTATCATTAGCAAGGTGAAAGGTGCTAAATGTGCTAAATGAAATGTTCAGCTGATGAAAAATAATTTGCTGCATGCAGTTACATTTGTATCAGTTTAGCAATTCTCATGCGCAATGTAAATTTCTCTAACAGGCCAACATCTCCTGTACTTTAGGTCACATCAACCAGGTATAAATTGTTTTTTTGGTCACTGCCTGACCAAATTGAACAATATTTAGCAAGGGTTTCCT